TTTTTCTAGCTCTGAAAAACAATTTTATACGAATTTTATTTATTATATTAAGTTTATAGTCAATTTACAAAATTTAATTATTATTATTAAAATTTAAGTTTTATTGCAAAAAATCATTTTTTTTTTAAATAATAATTTTATGACATAAAATAAGAATTAAAAAAATCTTCACTTTTACTTTCTTTGTTCAATTATATTGTAAAAGTGTTTTTCTTGTTCTGAAAAGCAATTTTATTCGAATTCTATTTATTATATCAAGTTTATAGCTAATTTACAAAAATAAATAAGATTAGGTAATGTTATTTAAAAACTTAACAAATCAATCATTTCTTTATCCCCTCCACTTTATTTCCGACTTAATTCAAACTGATTTTCACGCACAGCAGTATCGGTGAGGGGGGAGGAAAAATCTCAGCTCACTTTATGGTGAGTGAAGCAAAAAGAACGCGCACATTTGCAAATTTTACCGATGTGAGCTAAGATAAACTGAGATCTCAGGCGAAAAGAACGCACCTAATATTGTAAAAAGTGTTTTTCTCGTTCTGAAAAGCAATTTTATTCGAATTATATTTATTATATCAAGTTTATAGGTAATTTACAAAATTTAATTATTTTTATGGAAATTAAGTTTTATTGCAAAAAATCACCTAAATAAGATTAGGTTTTGTTATTTAAAAACTTAACAAATCAATAATTTCTTTATCCCCTCCACTTTATTTCCGACTTAATTCAAACTGAGGAAAAATCTCAACTCACTTTATGATGAGTGAACCAAAAAGAACGCGCACATTTGCAAATTTTACCGATGTGAGCTGAGATTAACTGAGATCTCAGGCGAAAAGAATGCACCTATTATCTGACAAATTTATTTGACAGAAATAATAACTTCAAGTAACAAGCTAGTAAATGTTTTAAACTAAAGTTATAAACAACTTAAACATATACATCAATCAATAAGGAAATTATAATTATATTCCAATAAAATTGTGTATATTTTTAACAAATCTTTTAAATACTTATCTATGGTTTGCAACATTTTGAAATATAATTTTTCTTCATACCTCGGTCGAAAGTACGTACTTTCGTCCCTAATAGCAGGGACGAAAGTTTAACATTTTCTCCCTGCTATTAGGGACGAAAGTAAGTACTTTCGACCGATGTATGAAGAAAAATAGTATACACCACACGGGCCAAACGTTGAATTTTCGGTCCTGCGCAGAGCCAAAAATTCAACTTTCGACCCTTATAGTGTAATATACTATTTCTTCATACCTTGTTCGACAGTTACTTTCGTTCCCAATAGCAGGGACGAAGGTTTAACATATACTCCCTGTGCTATTAGGGACGGAAGTAAGTACTTTCGACCGATGTATGAAAAAAATAGTATCCACCACACGGGCCAAACGTTGAATTTTCTGTCCTGCGCGTCATGATGCCCGAGGCGATAAGTATCTAGTTAGCTAAGTTCTGGTCCTCTGCAGTGGTGCGTTTCTTATTTTATCTTTTATATCATTAGAGCGGCATACTTTTTCGTTAGATCCTTGCACATCAACACATGTCTCTTTCCGCACGAATAGTTCTGCTGCGTCTTTCTTTCACTCCAGCTTATTGCGAATATTCTTTACTTTCTCGGTCTCTGTCGCAATGCCGAATCCATTATTTGCCAACATAATCCTCTTTTCGGCTTTGACTTCAGTGCCGATAAATTTCATAAGATAATCTAGTTTTCCTTTACTATCGGTTACTTGTCTGGAATCGGAACCTTTGCCATACACGCAGTGCGTCCTCAGGTAGAGCGGACACGACTAAAGGGAAGACCATGGCAGCACAGGCTGCTTAGACTCAATTTTTCTACATTACTGGCCGCATTTTGCAAAACTAGGGTCAACAATTCCCCCATATACATCTCTACCAAAAATTTGTCCCGTCCAAACCGGTTTTTTAGACTGTCAACAGCATATACGGTCAAATATTTCTTGGCTAAGCCGTCTTGCTTTATAGACGCCGCCATAAATAAAATCAGGGAAGAATAAATAATAATAATAATAAACTTTTAATTTAACCTTTTACCAAATATTTTAGTTTACAATTCCAAGTGGTCACCTAATTTTTAGTATGTTATTTTTAATAATAAAATACCTGCATTTTGCCTTTTTAGAGTATTACTTTGTTAGCTATAAATGGTTTAAATTAGGGTGTATGGCACGCCGTTTTAGCATTTATTAGATAAAAGTTTAAAAATTAAAGTTTAGCACTTAAATTATGTTTTAACAGAAATTTATCTTTTTAAACTAAACTGCGCACCACTCAATGTGTCGCGACCAAAAAGTTCGTTCTTTTTCAAAACGACATAACTTTTTCGTTTCTTGAACGATTTTATTTTGGTCTGTGATGTCTCTCTTAGCCCCATCCTCTGACAATTCATGATATATATATATGAAGCTTAAGGTTCTTCAAGTGAATTTCATACAGGGTGATATGTTAAACGGTGAAAAATTTCAATAACTTCATCCAAGCCCCGTTTGTAAAAAAAATCATTTTTTTCTCGTTTTTACTTAATAATACTATGTCTTACCTTAAAACATTTTTAAAATTTTTTTAATTGAAATCTTAGCAACGCAAATATGATTTTTTTTACAAAAGTGTACATTTAAGTCTTTTTTGTAGGCAATTTAACAGCCGGGAATTGTTTTCTTAGTGATTTTGGTTTTATCTGAAACGTAAATTTGACAACTGAATCACAATCAGGAAGTCAAATTATAAAGAAAACATGTCACGAACGTAAATATCGGTTCAGGATTAGTTTCCGCAAATTTTTACCAAAATGTCATTTTGAAAAAGTTGTCTTTGCTTAGGCCCCTCTGAAAAGAATGGAAGTTTGTGGCTTGTCGCTTGTTCAGAATTATTCAAGGAACAATCTTTCACCATCTAATCTCCTTGTTCTTAAAAGGACTGAGTGTATTGCCTACCAAAAAGCCTTAAATGTACTCTTTTGAAAAAAAATCCAATTTTCTTTGCTAAGATTCCAATACAAAAAATTTGAAAACCTTTTCGAGGTAAGACATAATACTTCAATATTTCAAAGTAAAAAACGAGAAAATTTTTTTTTTTACAAACGGGGCTTGGATGAAGTTATTGAAATTTTTGAACGTTTTACACAGGTGATACCCTGTACGAAATTTACTTGAAGAACCGTGAGCTTCATATCTATAGCATGAATTGCCAGAGGATAGGGCTAGCAGACATCACAGACCAAAATAAAATCGTTCAAGAAACAAAAAAGTTATGTCGTTTTGAAAAAGGACGAACTTTTTGGTCGCGACACATTGAGTGGTGCGCAGTTTATTTTGGTAGAAAATGTTTTATATGTGTTTTTATTTTAAATGGCTTGATACTATTTTTAAATACTAAAAAATTTAACTTTACCAAATTAATCATATATTATATCACGAGAACTATGAATTTAATCGGTTAAACTAGGCTCAGTAGTTTTTTGTTTGGTTTTTGTTGGAAAATGTTGAATGCAAAATAATTTAATAAAATCACGAGACCGCGTAGCGGTCGAGGGGTTTTATTTTTAATTATTATTATTGCATGAAACTATTTTCCAAAACGAAAAATCAAATAAAAAACTTACTGACCATAGTTTGACAGATTAAATTTATAGGTTGAGTGATATACGTCTAGATTATTTCTGGAATTAAAGGAAACTATTTGACAATTCATAAAATCTGACGTATGTGTCAAAATTTATAAATATCTTTTTAGAAAAAGAAAATTCCATTAATTTAAGGTATGTAATAAGTAATAATTGATATTTCTAGATAACTTATTTTTTATTGATTTTTTTTTAAATGTTTGTTAAAACTTGTAAATAACACCATAAAATCGTAAACAAAAATCCAATATGGAGGCTAAAATTTAATCGCTGTTAAATAGTTCTAGTGATTTAATCGCTTATTTAAACGAAATTTATTCGAAAATTCAATGCTTTTGATTGGTTCATATTATAATGAGGGAAATAATCTCAATAATTTTATAAAATATTTATTTAAGTTAACAAAATGCCACCCAAATATGTTGTACTTGGGAAATTATTTTTATTAAAAAATGATAGTTAAAAATTTTTGCTAAAATTAATAGAAAATAATATTGTTTAATACAGAAGTGAACTGTTGGTTAGTAAATTTTGTCTTTCAATACATGATAGTTGAAAATATTATAAATTTATAAATGTAAACCTAAAATTTTTAGTTAGGAAAATTTTAAACCAAAAAAATTTTAAATTAAAAAATTACTTAATAAATGTTAAAACGGCGTGCCATAAGGGTGTAACTAATGATTTTTAATGCCCAATATGCGACGCTTTTAAAGATTGCTAAAACATATCTTTGTATCCCAGCAACTAGTAGGTGTTTTCTACGGCAAGAAATATTGTTCCAGCGTAGAGGAATTATTTGTTACAAGAAAGTACTGATATGCTCATAGTTCTATACCAAAACGAACAATACTAGAAGCTTTAATGAACTAAAAAATGCTCTATATGGGAGGAATTAAGTCACCTTATTAATATTATTTCCTGATAATAGTGATAATTCTTATAATATACTAATATTTATTTTTTTATAAATTGGTTAGAACAGATTTTAAATACATGTTGATAAAACTTTTAAAATTTATAAAACTTTTGGTGTTTTTTCGTTCTCTTATAAAAATTGCTAAATTAGTAAATTACTGGTTAACTACCTGCCGAATTAGTTTTTATTAGCCTAGCAAGCCAGCTTAGTTGAGAAATATTTGACCATCTAAGCTTTGCTAACCAGTTTACCTGGTCAAGTCCAACAGCCCTAATACATTTTTTTTATTAATTAATAAACATTTATTAATAAATAAACATTAATTTTTATTAAAAATGAATGTGTATTTTGAATGCAATAAAACCTAGAATTATCTTTTTATTCTCGTATAACAAAATAAAAAAGTGATATTTTTCTTTAAAGATTTGCGGCTTTTTGTATGGCGTCAGCCCGCCCGACAATCCTCAAGTGAAGGAACTGCGCTGTTTAGTGCTGCCACCCCAATGGGGCACACATCAAACGGTTCACATACCACACACGCCGCCAAACCATCCGTTCCTCAAGGACATGGAACCTCTAGGCTGGATACACACACAACCCAACGAGTTGCCTCAACTGTCACCTCAGGATATCACCAATCATGCCAAACTGATGGCCGATAATCCCGCTTGGGATGGTGAAAAGACCGTTATCATTACATGCTCATTTACGCCCGGCTCTTGTTCGTTGACAGCGTATAAGTTAACGCCCTCTGGGTTCGAGTGGGGCAGACAAAATACTGATAAAGGTAACAATCCCAAAGGGTACTTGCCCAGTCACTACGAAAAGGTTCAGATGTTGCTGTCTGATAGGTTTCTAGGGTTCTTTATGGTACCTACGCAGGGGTCTTGGAACTACAACTTTATGGGTAAATATATTAGAATGGCGGTTAAGTTTAAATTTATAATACTTATTTTCTTATAGGTGTCAGACACGACCCAAGCATGAAGTATGAATTGCAATTAGCAAATCCAAAAGAGTTTTACCATGAAGTTCACAGGCCGGCTCATTTCCTCAACTTTTCGTCTTTGGAAGACGGAGATGGTGCTGGTGCCGATCGCGAAGATGCATTCGCTTAATTTAGTTTTTTTATTTTATAAACATTAGAGTTGTAAATACCATTTGTATAAGTTTTCTTTTAGTAAATAAAGTCGAAACGAAATATTGAGAAATATGGAGTGTTTTATTTTTTGCATCAGTTTGGCAAAGTAAACTAAAAATGTAAGGAGATATTTTATTATAGTAGTTTACATAACAAGAGTGGTAAATAGCAATTTACGCACAAGCGTAATTGCTTTACCACTCGAAAAATGCACTCTACTTTTTCTACAACACAATATTTTTAAACCTTTTTTGAATTTCACATCAACAGTTCTGACAAACATTTATAGTCTAAGATCTTGGGTATGGTCGACCTTCACCCATCTGCTTACCAGATGAAAATTATATTTTATCAAATAAAATATGTTTCTGAACATAAACCAATAGGGTTGCCATAAAAAATATGATCAAGGCTAGCTATAATAAATAAAAAATTAAAAAAAAATAATTAATTTTTTAAATTTCACCGACTTGCTTGCCAAATGAACGAAATTCCAATGGAAAGCATACAACATACAGAATATGTAACAGCTAGGTTGCCTACCTTTTTCTGGTCCCTATTACCTGGTTGCTTTGTACAGGGTGATCCCCTATAATGTCGCCCCCCTTTAACTTTTTTATTTTAAGTGTCCCAAAAAATTTAAAAGTGTGGTTATGTAGGAACTAAAAAATACTTTTTTTCTACGTATAAAGAAAATTGGAAAATTGATCAGTATACAGGGAAAACAAAAAGTTTATTTTTTTCAATGGATCACCCTATATATGAATTTATTTTTCGATTCCTTGTAAAATTCTAAGCATATTTCATATATCATACCATATACCTAAATTCAACCGTTTCTGAAATATTTAAATTATTTTTAAGATAATAAGTTGAAATAGTTTGTTTTTCTCTGTCTGAGTACGCCATTTTTACTTATTTAACAACACTTATTGACATAATGTCACTATAGTAATTTATTTTCAATAAAAATTTTGGTATACTGAGGCTTCTTGATTTCTAACAGTTTAAAAAAACATTTAATGATGACATTTCGAATGCGAATATTTATTTTATTTTGGTTTGTTATATAAATTATGCTCAGAATTTTACAAGGAATCGAAAAATAAATTCATATATACGGTGATCCATTGAAAAAAAATAAACTTTTTGTTTTTCCCTGATCAATTTTCCAATTTTCTTTATACGTAGAAAAAAAGTATTTTTTAGTACCTACATAACCAAACTTTTAAATTTTTTGGGACACTTAAAATAAAAAAGTTAAAGGGGGGCGACATTATAGGGGATCACCCTGTACAAAGCAACCAGGTAATAGGGACCAGAAAAAGGTAGGCAACCTAGCTGTTACATATTCTGTATGTTGTATGCTTTCCATTGGAATTTCGTTCATTTGGCAAGCAAGTCGGTGAAATTTAAAAAATTAATTATTTTTTTTTAATTTTTTATTTATTATAGCTAGCCTTGATCATATTTTTTATGGCAACCCTATTGGTTTATGTTCAGAAACATATTTTATTTGATAAAATATAATTTTCATCTGGTAAGCAGATGGGTGAAGGTCGACCTTACTTGGGATCCTCTACTATTACTTAATTTTGTAATGTTAGAAATTAATCAAACAAGCAACAATTCCCCAGCACAACCAGTGTTGCCAGATTAGGGAATTTTTCCCTATTTATGGGGATTTTTTGGAGAATAGGGAATAAGGGAAATTTTCGTTATACCCAGACAAAAACTTTTACTGGGTAGATATAAAGTTTTAATAAAAAGTGATGTTATAAACTAAATAACTATTGTAGAATTTTGGTTGATTTCTTATGCAAATATTGCTGCGAGCGTGTAATAAATTAATACTGATGATAGTTGGGGTCACCCCAATGGGGTGCCGTTCGGTTACATTGCGCGATTTACTAATAGATGGCGCGAGCAAATTTAATATTTTCATTGATTAAGGAATTATTATTAAGGATTTGATCAAAAAACTATGTTTTCACCACCCTCCTTTAAAAAATCTGACAATAAGTTAAATTAGTTAGAAAGTTTAATTTTTAAATCCTCAACGCCAACGACTTTATAAGTGGTGTTCTACGAGGCCAGCGCCAGAGCAACGCTGACGCCAACTGAAAGTTTATAAATCGAGCTTTAAAACTCTTAACTAGCATAGGGTAGAGACCATGATAGGGACTAAGAAGAGTGGGGGGTCCACAAGAATGTCGCACGTGTACAATGCCCGAAAAGAATGTATCTTTTTAACCCCTATTATTTTGTGCATCTGTCAAGCGTCAAACCAATGTTTACCTTTACCAATTTCGTAAATAAAAAGATTATAATGTAATTATATTATAATATTTTATATTATAATAAAATCTTAGTAGTAAACAGAACAGTTTGTTAAAACATTGAGTAAATTTATGAATTAATCAGTATTACTGTCGTAGCAGAAAACGTAAACTGCAGTTTACATGTAAACATGCATGTAATAATGTTAATTTGCTTATCAGTAATGTATTTTCACATATAAAATTACTGAATTTTGCAATGTAAAATCAGACAGTTTCTTCAAGTTCTTTGGTGTAATTATTTTATTACACCGTAATGTTTTGTTATAAACTTACTAATGGTATTTCAAATAACTGATGTGTAGGTTTTTTATCCCTTGACAAATTAAACAATCTTTAACAGCACAAACATTCCATATGTAGTGATTTGCTCAAATAATAATTTTGAAAGTAAAATAAAGCTTGTCAATCAACCTTCTTTATTTCTGTTATAAATCTTCCAATCAATGCGTGCACGTGCAGTCTGTCACGTGAGTTGACGGTCTATGCGCGGTTGATTAATAATTATTTGTGCGCATTGTACACGACGCGACGCGTTTTCTATCCATTCTCATGCGGAGTTGAAGCTCCTGAATATAATCTTCTTAATATGGACTGTAATGTACTCTATGTATTTTCGTAACCCGATTCTTTAAGTATACTGAAATACTTGTTTTGGGATATTCGTGATCGTCTAGATAATTTACTTACTTTATAAAAATTAGGACTCTACGTTGTGTATTTACGTACATTGATAATAAATAAATTGGTCAGGTTTAATGGAACACAAGTATTTAATTTTAAACCCCTGATTTAATTTAAGCAAAGACAAAGGGGTAGCCCGTTGAGTCAAAGCACAGGGAAAAGGGACCATAAAAACCCTGGCGACTTACACAGTTCAAACAAAAATAAAATACAAAATATACATGGTCATATGGGTCATAATCACAAGAATACAGTATAAATAATAATTGAATAAAATAACATGAAAAACATATAAACATATTTCATATAATTTGGGTGTTTTTATCAATATTCAAAACATTTTGTACTCAGGTAAAATAGTTATAATAGAGATCGTCATTTTATGACGAAGTGTTGTACTATTTGTTTACCTTACCACGCATCTTCGAACTATAGTTATATATTGAACGAGGATTCGATCTTATATAAATAAACTACAGCAACGACATACATATCTCTGGTAGAGAGAATTCAAATGCCTTTCCTTTGGAGGGAAACATGGAAAAATATAATCTAATGCAAATATTTAACCGTAGCCAATAACCACACTATGGAACAATAGCATCTCTGTGAAGTGATATAGCGAAACCTAATGTCCTTATCTCACTATAGTATCCCTATATCATAATATGTTTAGATATTCTCGCAAAATCAATGTCCAGCACAAGACAACAGTATTGTGAAAATATACAAACAATTCTGCACCCAGAGTATATGTAGGTAATAACATAAAAACACTATTTTTCTTTCAAGGATAAATCCTTTTGAAATAATGCTAATATATATTACCCATGTTCAAATATTCATGCATGAGCACTCTCCAAACGAAAACACAAATACAAATATAGACACAAATAAAATAAACAATATGCAATAACATAAAATGGTATAAAATATAAATAAAATACAATAAAATAATAATTATTACTATTTAAATAGGAGAGCGTCATAACAAGAAATACCTAAACATGGCCCGAACTCTAACCACCAGAAAGTGTCGCGCTGGATAATAATATAAAGAGATTTTTATGATATATAGTAACGTTAAACTCATTATCAAATATTCCAAATAAAGCGCTAAGATAAGCAGTTTAAATCAAAGTCTCTATCCAGAATCTATCAAAAGGCTAAACGATACTATTACCTTACCATGATATGACCTAATGGTAATATCAAATTGAATAATAATAGTAATAGCAATAATAATAATAATAGCAATAATAATAATAATAACAATAAACCTTACCCAAATAATACCAATATTATAATAGTAATATAATTGTTAAAAGCTTTGGCCTGAGTACAAATGCAAAGAGTTAAAATAAATAAATACCTTAATACCGAGATGATACACTGAGTTTCATAAACAATAAAATACATTTCAGTTAAATAAAAAGTTATACAAAGTTATACAAAAGGAAACAACAAAATCAAGGCCAGTGTAACTCAAAATAAAGACAATACAAAATATTAAAATTTAAGTTAAATGTAATTCAGTGTATATGGTAAATGCGACCACATAAAGATTGAAACTCAGTGTATGCGCGATCCCAAGATATTAAACCAAAATAATGAAGTAGTGATACCATAAAAATTATTACCAAAAATCACTCGCTATTTACACATATTAAAATGATTAGGACCCAATAAACTAGCAATGATATACGTCATAGACCAAAATGCGAATTAAATAATATTGTTCAAAATTATAAGCAAAAATGTATTAAGAAAACCCAAAACGAGGAGTGGTTTATCATTACTACCAAATATTAAAATTTAAAATTTATAAAAGTGTACATAGGTACCAGAAAATCGGTAACAATTACAAAAACTATAGCTATATTATAATATATATCTCACTAACTTTTTAACAGGAGTATCTCGAAGGGCGAGCAAAAACCCTCTGTGTGTATTCTATTTATTTCCTAATCTAGCTTTTAAACTCTGTGCCACTTAAGCAAGAATGTCTAACATAAACAAATTCACCCTAATATTTCTACGCTCAGATAC